ATAATTGAATTCTTTTGGCCTTCCTCTCTGTTGATCTAGTGTTAAAATCGGGAGCTTGTTGATCGAGTTTCTTCACCATCGATGCTCGATTCTCTTTCCTAATGAGAGTAACTTCTTCGTTTCCTGTAATCGGGTTAGTGAATAACGAAGCTTCTCAGTCAGATGGAGAATTGTAGGTTTGGAATCTCGGATTGGTTTGAGGTAAAATCAGTGTTAATCCGATGGTTAAGGTGCTTTTGTTTCAATTAGTTTCTCGTGTGCTTAAAGAGGAAGGAGTTGACAAGTGGTTTTCAAAGATGAGGTTTGTGGATCTGGACATGATTTCTGCTCGTTTTGAGTTGACGAATCCTCTTACCGGCGGTTGCGTTTCACCGGAAGGTTCTGTCGGCACCGTCAAATCTATATCTTGAAGATGAAGACATATTAGGGGCTTAACCTAATCTGTTTCTTTGTGGGCTTAATTGGGCTTATCTAATGTAATAGATATACATTTAAACCACTTATAATTTTCTTGGCCTTGATGGCCTTTCAATGATATGGCATACTAGGAGTGGCCAATTCGGACAACCCAATCTAATATAGTCTGATCTAATTCAAACAATCCGGATTAGTATGGATTTGAGTTTATATAAAAATTCATTTAGATCAAATAATAAATATTAATTTGGATCTTAATTATTTGGATTGGTATTTAGATAACTAAAAAACCCAAATAAAATCCAAACTTTTTTTACATATATTATTATATTAATAAATAACTTAATATAAATGTAAAATTACTTATATCAAAAATAGTATTATACTATTAACATCTTCTTTACACATAAATTTACCTAATTTTACTAGTAACCCTAATAATAAGTTAACAAAAATTTTAGTATAAAAGAAATCATTGATAGAAATTTGAAGAACACTCTCAAATTTCTCCAAATAACCCAAATGAAAATAGATTTAAGTTTACTTTGGTCAAATTATTTGCGTTCTCAACAATTTAAACCCAATCTAAAACCTAAGAAATTCATTCCAAATTTTAATTGGATTGAATTTAGTACAATAATTTTT